CCCCAAAACCCCAAAACCCCAAAACCCCTATAGTCTGTCTTAATAAGGATATTGTCAATAAAGTAATAAGGATTTTTATCTTTATAAATTTATTGATATAATACTAATAATTAAACAATTTAGGCAAGCAATGGAGAAAACAAAATAGGACAATAGTAAAAAACGTAGGATTGTAGCTGACACTACATTTGAGTTTGTAAGCAAAATGCAAATAAATTATATTAGTCTGCGAGTGATGATGAATCAAGTGGTGATGAGGGCATTATGCTTTAAAAGTCTTACTCTGTGCCTATAGAGGATATTGTAAAGAGCCCCACTTAGAGAACTCTAGATAGAAACTAAACATTAAAAGATAATCCAAGAATTAGTCGAAATAGAAATCTTGCAATGAAAATTCCAGGAGGGAGATACTCTGTTATGAATGAAAATGGAAATTACTTAGCAAGTTAATTAACAAAATAAAATAAAGAGAGTCCATTCTCTCTTGAAAACCCATAAATTCCTACAATATAAGATAATCAAAGGAGATAATATGAGATCCATAGGTTTTAAATAAGACTTAATGGTCTTAATAAAATATTAGAGGTAACAGAAAGTACAATTGGAGAGAAATTGCTATCAGGAAGCATTAAGAATGTCTTGACTGATGACTTAGTCATATAGTTTTTCTTAAAAGATTAGGACTTAATTTACTATGACAATGCATAACAAATTATCAAAATTATTCTTGAGTAAGTTTTTATCATTTTACTTTTATTAGAGGGAATCATTTAGTCTTTATGATTGATGAAAAGAAATTCTTTATGCATTTCCTAAGTAAAATGTCTAACCTAGTAAAAATGAAACTCAACTTAGCTGAATTCGATAGTTTTAATGATAAACTTTAAATCGCTAGAAATAAAACTCTTGTGAAAAGAAAGAAGGAGAATGATCAGATATCTAGTTAGACTAGTGATGAGTTTGATGTTTATACTCAATAAAAAATCAATTGGAGAACTAAACGTTTTGATAAAAAAATGATGTTTGAGCCTTCAGGTAAAATACAGCTTATTGGATATTCAGAGGAATACCAGAAAGAATTTTATATTAACTGGGTTCATCAGATTTTAGTTAACAGTTCAAGCACAAACAGCAATATTCAAGTTACTTTCACATTCAAGGTAATATTTAACTAGCTTAAAACTTAATAGGACGAGACCCCCCATATTGAAGTATATTTTAGCCGAACTTAGGACTGTCAAAAATTTTTGAATTTAGCTTAAGAGAAAATTAAGTTAGAAAAAGAGTAAAGAAGAGAGCTTTTTATAATAAAGTAGAGTTTGAACACAAAAAGAAAAAGTCGATTAAATAAGCAGTATTCATGGTTTATGGATCTAAGTGATGACAAAGAAAAGTTCACAGCTGTTCAAATTGATAAGAATGATGAATTCAAGTTTCTAATGATTGAAGAAGATAAAAAAAGAGAGGAGGATGTAGAATACATCTCTGAAAATGAAATCCAGTTCAAAGTTATCCTTACTGAGATGAATACAGACAGATAAAGGTATCTAATATTTAACAGGTCTTAATCTATTATACAATTTTTAAAAAGCTCGAAAAACAAAAAGGTAATTAAGCATTTTATCTAAACATTTTTATCTAGTTAGAGATGACGATAGAGATTAGCTAGATTTTAAGCTGTGAAAGAAGTCTTTTAGATCACAGATAAATCATGTTGAAGTGCAACAACTTAAGTGGAGTAATCTTGCTTACATTTAGTTCAGTTTACAAAATCTTGCAATTCATTGAGCTTCTTAACTTATACTCTTTTCAGCATCTTCAAATGAGCATGAATCAGCAAATGATGCAATCTAATGACCTATTCGAAGATTCAAAGTTAGAGGATATCATTTTTAAAACTAAACTTTAAATCCTTGAGACACCAAGAAAGCTCAGAGTACTCTCGTTAACTTTTAACATGGCAAGAAAAGCTTAAAAGCTTTCATATGACTAACTTTTTCAATAGCCTTATAGCTATGATATGATAGTTATAGGTGGTCAAGAGACTAAAATGACACATAAGACATCATTAATCATAGAGCTAGCAAACTATTTAGGACAGTTTAGCTTTATGAATATTACTTCAGTCCAAATGTGGGAGATGTTTCTTGTAGCATTTGTAAAAACAGATCATCTACCTCATTTAAAGTACAAATAAAGCAGCTACAGAGCAGCTGGTATTGGAAATATACTTGGAAACAAAGGAGGGCTTTAGATATCCTTCAAGCTATATGACTACTTGTTTAACTTTATAAATGTACATCTTGTTCATGGAGAGAAAAGATATGAGAAGAGAAATGAGATGATGAGTGATCTTATTAGAAAAATGAGGAATTAAAGGGAAGAGTTAGATCCTGACATAATCTCTGACTTTTCATTTATAATTGGTGACCTAAACTACCGATTAGAATCAACATTTGAAGATCTTGCTCCATAGATTGACAAGGTAATATAGTTGAGAAAATCTTTGGACTAATTTGAAAAAGCCAGATTATAAGACAGATATACAGAATATACAGAGTATGACATAAATTTTATGCCTACCTACAAGAGGAATAGATTTGATTAAGGATATTTTAACAAAAAGAACCAATCTCCTTCTTATACAGATAGGATTTTGATTAAAAACAACACAAACTAGCAAGTTAAGCTAGTTAAATATGATACTTTAGAAAATGTTTTTGGAAGTGATCATAGGCCTATCATTTTAGATTTGGAACTTAATTTGAAACCTGTGAGATTCTTAAATTTAACAAAGCTTAGAGATAAAAGTATGTAAACATCATAAGGTTTAGGAATCATAAAGTTTAATCATTTGAACTTGAAAAATATAAAGCATTTACTTATAGAAAATTTCTTAAAAAGAAAGCTTGTGTTCCCTTCACATCTTTAGATATCGTTTTATGCAGATTATTTGGAATCTTTTTCATCCAGCTCAGAATTCAGTTTACCAAACATAACCGCTCTGTACACTAATATAACTTGGAGTAACCAAGAGTTACCGTAGCTATACACTCCAATTAATGATTTAGAAATTATTAAGGACAAAAGACTGATGATTTTGATTTGGATAACTAATGAAACTTGCAATCAAGAAGTCATTGGATAAATTAACATAAGACTTGATTAATTACAATAATGGTCATTAAATTCTTTAAAAACAGAGATAAAAGATTCACCCGTTATTATTGCTAATACATAGATCGGTCAAATGGACTGTGATTTTAGTTTTGAAGTTGTTTAAAACCTTAGTTAAAGAAGGTAATCAAGAAGTGAAAATTCTAAAAAATCTAGGAAAAAAAATTATATCAAAATGCAAAGAGATCATAGTGCTTGATTAGAAAATGAAAAATAGAATATTTTTTTAAACACACAGATATTTAGTTTACTGATTTCAATTTATTAATTATTTAGACGAATACTATAATTCTTTTAGAATTATGCCATTGGGGTTTTGGGGTTTTGGGGTTTTGGGG